CATGCAAGCACCGCCCCTGCCCACAGGCCAAACGACGGGACAAGACCAACCAGGATGTCAAACATTCGTGTGCAAAAAAATAAAAAAGAACCTGGAGGACCGGTATGAAAAACAATCCCGGATGACGATTCCCACATGCAAGCACCGCCTCGCGTTCCGAAAGGCCAAATAACGGGAAACAACCAACCAGGATGCCAAAACAATAAAAAAGTCCGGATGACTGGTCCCACATGAAGCACCGCTACCTGCTTAGACTGAACAACGGGACACAACCAACCGGGATGCAGACAAGATTACCACAACAAAATAAAATACCCCAACAACTGGGAAAAATACATAAAAAATGGGACGTGTCATTTAGTTTGTTTGACTAATACGCCTTCTTCTTCCCTTGTCCTTTCTCTAACGTTTTCTTAAATACCACAACAAATCTACCATATATATATGTCCTGTCGTTTGGCCGGTGAAGGAGGGGCGGTGCTTGCATGTGGGACTTGTCATCGAGGATCCGTTTTTGGTGCTATTGCTTGTTGGCCCCTGTTTTGTTGCATTTGGATGTTCCCTTCCTCTTTTCTTTGCCTCTTTGCCCTTTGGCTGTGTGCAAGTGGGTCGATACGACACACGGGGGTGGGGGCAGCCGCCGCTCAACCTACATCCATGCGGGCGGCCTTGTACGCAAGAGGTTCTGAACCGGGGGAGTTGTAAGAAAGAAGATAAAAAAACGAATTATTTTTTTTCTTGTTCTGAACAGGGGGAGTTGTAAGAAAGAAGGTAAAAAAACGAATTATTATTATTTTTTTTTCTTTTTTTGTTTTTCACCTTTGCGCTCTGATATTCATGTGACGATATATATATAAATATAAATATATCTGTAGAGTTTTCCATCTGGTGTGGGTGAGTGATAGTCTGCTTTGATTTTCGTCACAGGTACCTTGAGGGCAGTGGTTGGTGCCCACCTCACGGTATCAGTTGTCGGGCAGCCGTTGATGCTTAACCACAACCGGGGTTAAGGAGGATTCTCACTTATAGTGTAATCAGTTAGGGGATTCTGCAGACTGTTGAGGGTTTAGCCTCCTGATGAGTCGGTGAAACTCCGATGAAACAATTTGTCACACCCCCGCGTTTGTTGTCCTCATCTTCCTCTCTGCCCACGGTTTACCGGGCAGTTCTGTTTATATATGTATATACATATAGTCAAACAGAGCTGCCTGGTAAACCGTGTATATATATGTATATATATTGAACTTGTTGAAAGGATACCGTGCTGATACGTCATTTTGACTCTTTGGTGGAGTCGCAATCTTCTTCTTGTGTTTCATCATCATCATCATCATCATCATCATCATCATCATCATCATCTTCTTCTTCTTCTTCTTCTTCTTCTTCTTCTTCTTCTTCTTCTTCTTCTTCTTCTTCTTCTTCAAGGTAGCTCCTCATGTGTACAGTATGAGGCAAGTTTTGAAATCTTCGGGCCATGGATGATCACTAGTTCCGGGGGGCGTGCACTACCAAACCGCAAGGCAGGCAGTTGCACCTAGTGCAGTTTCTAGCTTTCCCACATTCAAACAGCTTTCATTTTGTTTTGCTTGGATCGGACTGATTTTGTTTTCTTTGAATCTGTTTTCCTTTAGTTGTTTCCCCCTACTCCCCCCCCTCTCTTTTATTTTTTATTCTTGAATTTGACTATCTGTTATTCCGCTGCGTGTCCACCACGTTTTCTTCTAGTGAACTACTACGGCTACTCTCTCTTTCTTTGCTCACATTTTTTTACGAACTGCATGCATGCAGTTATGCACGCACACATGCATCATTCACGCATGCATTCACGTATGCACGTATGCACGTATGCACGTATGCATTCACGCATGCACGTATGCATTCACGCATGCACGTATGCATTCACGCATGCATTCACGTATGCACGCACGCATGCATGCATGCATGCATGCATTTGCGTATGCACGAATGCATGCATGCATGCATGCATTCATGTATGCGCGGATGCATGCATGGATGCATGCACGTATACGCGTATCACATACATGCGTATGCGTGCATGCACATATGCATTCATGTATGTACGCATGCATGCACCTATGCATTCATGTGCATGGGTGCATACATGCATTGGTGGACCATTCTCGCAGTACTTGTGTTCTTTTATTTTTTATTTTTCCCCCTTTCCCTTTTCAGATCTGTGACTGTGCGATGATACTGATGGTGGTGACTGACAGATGGAAGACACTCGGCGGTGCCACGATGGCGATGGGGTTTCCCTGATGTGGGAGTCTATGCTGCCCTCGTTAGGGGGCTGGCAGCGTCTCTGCGGGTGGCAGATGCAATCGAAGCTGTGGCTGACGTGCGTCGTCGGGGTGTTCCTCCTGGAGATGAGGTGGGTTTTTTGGGGGGTGGGGTGGGGAAAGAGGAAGTTTTGTTTTCAAGTAAATGTATATATTACTAGACTATTAGTATCATTATTTTTTTTGAAGGGATCAAGGTCTTAACATTATTAGGACATTTGATTCCGTCAAGATTCCAAGTATGAGCTGTTTGAAAGAGGCAGGTTTTCGTGATTTTAGATATTACGTTTTTTAGGTTTATCTTATTTTATTAATATTCAGCCTCCTGATGAGTCGGTGAAACTCCGACGAAACAGTTTGTCACAGCCCCTCGTTTGTTGTCCTCTTCTCTCTCTCTGCCTACGGTTTCACCGGGCAGTTCTGTTTGTGACGATATATATATATTATATATATATATTTTAATAAGATGTTATTTTCGTTCCTTTCCTGGGAGGAAATTCGCAGGAAAAGGAGAACTGTCTGGAAAATGTGATGCGCATTGTGCACATTGTTTTGCCTTTTTTTTTTTTTTTTTTTTAAGTTTCAACTTTTCAACTGGTGTATTGATTTAATCATTTCACAGTGTTTCAGATTTAGTTGTGCCATTTTCTTTTTTTCAGGGGTAACAAGATTACACCTACCAGCGAGATTCTGTCTTTCTGGCCGTTGAACCTCCTCTTTTTTTTTTTCTTTTTTTCCCGGGCGTTGATCCTTGTAATCCACAGTCCAGAAGGAAGAGTGCAGTAGGGTGAGACCCGCCAAAGCAGTCCTATGCAGGCATACCACTAACATCTACAGTGCTCCCGTGAGGGAAAACAGTCGTGGTACCCTTCCCTACTGAACCTCTGCCGGGCCTGGGCACTGTAGATTTTGGCCCAGCACTTGATGAGAAGGAAAATGAAAAGTGCAGGGACTGTCGGAGTGGTGGTTTAGTTTCTCTCTCTCTCTCTCTCTCTCTCTCTCTCTCTCTCTCTCTCTCTCTCTCTCTCTCTCTCTCTCTCTCTCTCTCTCTCTCTTGCTCTCTTGCAAG